GGAGGAGGAGGAGGGGAGGTCAGGAGGGTCTTCTCAACGTGGGGCCAGCGCCTGCACGGCACACCAACGGGGCTCTCGTCTACCAAGTCGGCGCTCCCCATGTCGAAAAAGGAACTGTTGTAGGGACTGATGAAGGGGGAGCTTGTGTGTGTGTGTGTGTCGCAGCATCGTTGATGCATCTCGGAGTTACTCTGGTCCTCCACCTTCTGCTCCTCCTCCTCCTCCCTCCACTTCGCTCCCCTCGCCTTCCTCGATTTCCCCCTCCTCTCTTCTCCCCCCTCCCAACTCTTCATCCCGCCCTCCCGCACCTACCTCCTCCTCCCCCTACCTCCCCCCTCCCCCCTTCCTCCACTCCCCTCCCACCCCCCCCCTCCCACTACCTCCCCCGGCTCCTCCCCTTCCTCGCTCCTTCCTCTCCTCCCTCCTACCCCCTCACGCCGTCCCCCCTTCTCTTCACCCTCTGCCCCCTCCAAGCCTCCCACTCCTCGCCCCTCCCTCCCTCTCCCTTCCTCCCCTACACCCCCCGGACCTCCCCCTCCTTCCCCTCCTCCCCCCCCCCCTACTCTCCTCCGCTCTGCCCACTTCCTCTCCTCCTCCTCCTCCTCCTCCTCCTCCTCCTCCTCCTCCTCCTCCTCCTCCTCCTCCTCATCATCATCATCATCATCATCATCATCATCATCATCATCATCATCATCATCCTCTCGTTTTGCTTCCTCTTCCGATCCTCCTCGTCATCCTCCTATCCGCCTTTCCTTTCTCCTCTTCTTTCCTCCTGCTCCATCCTCCTCCTTGTCATCCCTTCCTCCACCTCTTCCCAGATTTCTCCTGCTCTTCTTCGTCCCCTCCCGCTCCTCCCTATGATTCCGCTACATTCCCTCTTGTGAGAGGCGCCGACGAACTCCTTGTGTCACGTGCTCGGCTGGCACGAGGACCTCAGCTTCCAAGAGCAGGTGCTGGCTGGACTGCGCGGAGCTCCCATGCCAACCCTCGGCGACGAGATTGGGGGCAACGGAGGAGGGAAGGGATGGGAGGAGGAGGGAGCTCAAGAGGAATAATGTCGCCAACCGCCCGCAGAAGAGGATGGGCGTGCGGGGGTGCTCTGGATTCTGAGATCTTGAGCTCAGGCAGTGCTTTCGCTGGGCAACGCGCTGCATGCAGCGAGTGCTCGGTCGACGTCACCACTGCTCTGGAGTGCGGCGGCGCAGGCGTACTTTCGGGAAGGTTGCTAGCTGGTAAGGTTACCTTTCGGCGGCCCTCGCCTGGTGACGTGGGCTGCCGCGGTGCAGGCGGCCTTTCAGAGCCATGGCGCGCGCGCGGGACTGAACGGATGCGACGCCAATATGTCACGGTCTGGAAGGGGCTGTGTACGGTCTCGCGTGGCAAGAATGGATGTGGGGCGTTTGGCTTCTTGGCTCGCTCCGAGCAGCGCTCTCGAGCCGAGATTCGACAGAGAGGAGGAGAGGAGGAGAGAGGAGCAGAGAGAGAGAGAGAGGTGAACATATACATCTAGGAAGAGAGGGGAGGAGAGGCATGAGAGCGAGAGAGACGCGGACGAGGAGGAGCAGGATGACTGAGGAGAAAGAGAGAGGAGGAGGAGGAGGGCGAAGGCGAGGAGACGCGGGGGAGAGGAGGACGTGGCAGAGGAGGCGGGAGGGGAGGGGGGTAGGGCCGGCTCGGCCGAGAGGTGTGGCCCCCCCCGTGCCCCCCCCCCCCCCGCGAGTCCGACTCCCGCCGGGCCGCGGCCGCGGCGCCTGCCCCTGCAGCGGGCCGTGGCGCGCGTGTGGTGCAGACTGGCTGCTCCGGACCGCCGCGGCGGCGGCCGATTGCGGGTGGCGGGTTCGGGCGAGCGCGGGAGGCCTTCCGCCAGGAGGATGAGGAGGAGATGGAGGATGAGGAGAGAGGAGACAGGGAGGGAGTGAGGTAGGAGAGGGAGGAGGAGGGGGAGGAGGAGGAGGAGGAGGAGGAGGAGGAGGAGGAGGAGGAGGAGGAGGAGGAGGAGGAGCACGGGTCCTGACGGAGACGGGTTCTGAGCCCTTCGCCCTCGTCGAGGTCTCGGGGCCCCCGCTACTCGGGCCATCGCAAACAAACATGGATCAATGGGGGCGTGGAGTAGCGATCTGTCCCACTTTCCAGGGGAAGAATCGCGGATCTCCGCCGCCGGGCGAGGCGGCACCGGTCGCATTTTGGGGAGGGCACCTCTCCCGATCCATGGATTTGGCGACCGCGTGCCAGATCCATGGATCGCTACAATCCATGCTTGCGCGCCCCCTTCCTTCCTCTGTTAGTTAAAGCTGTGCGCGGCCCGCTTAGCTTCGACCGGAAGAGGCTCGCTCTCGACCCGCGGATCAACAAAAAATGTTTGCGCGCCCCCGATCTACGGGCCCCAGGAGTGTCAAAAACGGTTCTGGAAGGCAGAGCGGTCCGGGGGAAGGAGGAGGAGGAGGAGGCGGAGGAGGAGGAGGAGGAGGAGGAGGAGGAGGAGGCGGAGGAGGAGGAGGAGGAGGAGGAGGAGGAGGAGGAGGAGGAGGAGGAGGCAGATTTCTTGGGTCGGCGTTGGGGCCCCCTTGGCGGCGCCCCTGGCGCTCCCCGTGGCGCGCTGCGCGCGCCACAGGAAAGGGTGGCCAGCGCAAGTCCGCTCGGCCCCCCACGCGAGGACGTGTACGCCCCGGAGCTTTCAGTTCGCGCGTCGCGCCGCTGGTCTTGGCGCGACGCGCCACGTCCCAGGCTCCGAGCGTCAGCGTCCCGAGCTTTTCCCAGCCTCCCGCCCCGCGGAGCGGAGCGACACTCGAGCGATCTGCGCGGCACAACGTGTCGCTGGGGCTGCCGCCGTAGCACGCCAAACGACAGACTCCGTGGTTGCATCGCCGCGCGTGCCGTGGCCACATCGTACGGTCCGCTGGACGGGGATCCATCGGGCCGCTGACGGCAAACGGCGAGGGAGGCCAGCCTGGCTTCGACGGCGCCGCTCGCTGTCTTTTCTTCCGTTTGCGCTCCCTCCTCCCGGCCTGGTGTTAAGTGGGGCGTACCCCCCTACAGGGGGATTGTCGACGAAAAATGAAAAATACGCCAAAAATACAGCAAAAAGGTCAAACCAATACTAAAAAAATAGTCCCCAGATCATTTTTGGATTATGTTTTGATTATTTTGGGGGTATGTTTGATATTTCGTCGACAATCCCCCTGTTGGGGGGACAGGCCCCCTACAAGGGGATTTTCGACGAAAAATGAAAAATACGCCAAAAATGCACCACAAAGGCAAAAACCAATACTAAAAAAATAGTCCCCAGGCTATTTTTGGACTATTTTTTTGTTATTTTGGGGGTATGTTTGATTTTTCGTCGACAATCCCCCTGTTGGGGGGACAGGCCCGACCTAAGCCTGGTGTTGCCCCTGGCGCTCTTCTCTCCCGCGTGCCGCCTCCCGGCCACTCCGCGTGGCTGCCTCTCGGCCGTCGGACGCGAGGGCCTCGGCAGCGCTTCGGCCCCTCTCTAGGATCAGGTCGGGCCCGCCCCCCTACAGGGGGATTTTCGACGAGAAATAAAAAAAATACCCCAGAAATGCCCCCAAAAGGCAAAAACAAATACTCAAAAAACAGTCCCCAAAACTATGTTTGGATTATTTTTTGGGGGTATTTTTTACTTTTCGTCGAAAATCCAAAATCCCCCTGCAGGGGGGGGGGGGGGGGGACAGGCCCGACTTAACTCTAGGAAGAGGAGCGAGGCCAGTCGCGCAGCGAAGCCGAGCTTCGAGCTGCGAGCGTCCACGACGGGCGAGGTTTGGCCCTGCGGGGAGCCCCCCGGCCGTCGGCCCGGGCAGTTCCGCATCGACCGATCGGTCGCGATGCGCATCTCGGTGTCTGGAGGCATGCATGACTCAGGAGGAAAAGAAACACACAGACACAATTAATCCTCGATTCCCCAGAAAATACGGGAAAATATGGGAAGTGGGGGGAAGACAGAAACACAGAAAATATGGGAAAATATGAGGAATTCTTTTATTTGTGTGTATTTATTTGTGTGTCCCAGGGTCCCTTTAATGACCCAGAGTCTGTGGCAGAGCCAGAGCTTCACAGTGCGAATAGTGCCCTGCCCTTAGCGGGCCCTGGAAACGACAGGGCCGTTTTTGTTACCGGTTCCGTTTTGCCGTGTTCTTGCCGGTTCCGACGCCGTTTTTGTTACCGGTTCCGTCGCCGTTTTTTGACCGGTTCCGGCTCCGGTTCCAATCCTGGAGCCGTTTTTTTTTTTTTTTGCCTTTTTTGGTCACCTTTTTTTGCCGTTTTCATTTTCAAGGGACACTTTCTCGGGAACGGTGAAAAAACGGCCCTGCCGTTTCCGGGGCCCACTAAGGCCCTGCCCCCGGTACATGCCAGCGTCAGACGACAACACGAACATGTGACCACCGATGTTCTGGGGTCGGAAAAGAGGCGTCCCCCACCACTCGGCCAGGGTGGCCTCGGAGGCTGAGCCAGCGCAAATCAAATCTGACAACGCTTGTCGCACTCAGGCAACTTTTGTGTGGACGCGAAAAACCGCACCGCTGAAGGAGGAGAAGAAGGAGGAGGAGGAACCAGAGGATGGCACGCCACTGAGGGGAAGAGAGGGGAGAGAGAGAGAGAGAGAGAGAGAGAGTTCGCCCAAAAGTAATAAGGGGGGTCCGTCCGAGAGGACCTCTTTGTCACCGCGGGTGGCTATGAGGAGGAGGAGGATGAGGATGAGGTTGAGGATGAGGATGAGGATGAGGATGATGAGGTGGAGGAGGAGGAGGATTAGGAGCTTTCCCTTTGGAACCCGTTCGTGGCATGGCCGCAACGATTCATGGCTGTCGCGTTGTTTCTTGGGGGTAATTCACCCTCTTGTGGGATAGTCTGGAGCGTCTTGAGCCTCTTCTGGAGGCTTCCAGGAGACTGTTAGGGGGTTATTGGGCTTATCTTTGGGGCGGTAAGCTTACCGAGCTCCCCGAAGAAAATTCGGCAAAGCCATCTTGCAAAGCCCTGGATGGATCTGCAGGCCCTTCCGAAACATTCCTGGGCTCGTGGGGAAGAATTGTGTTGTCGTAGGGACTCTTGGGGGCCTTCTGGGGTAGTCTGGGGGCCTTCTCAAGCCTTCCAGGAACCATCTAAAGATCTCCTCGGGGGGGAACGTTCGGATCGTCTGGGGTTTTCTGGGGAAATCTTGGGGCCTCTGGGATTCTTTGGGCCGTCTTGGCGTTAACTAGCGGCCGCGGAGAGCGCCGGAGAGCAACATGCAGGGGGGCGATCTTCGATGCGAGTCTGCTGCGAGGGAGGGGCGTCCTCTTTCACAGCCTGCGCAACCCGCACCCGACAGCCGACAGGCATTCTCAAGCACACTGGGGGAGCATCAAGATGAGGATGCTGATGCTCACAGTAATTAATCGTTGTGATGGCAGGAGGGGGGAAAGGAAGATACTAAGGGGACACAATGAGAGAGGGAGAGTGGGGAACGCTCGCGCCGTATCTTCAGGAGGGGAAAAAACACACAGACACAATCAATCGTCGATCCCCTCGAAAACATGGGAAAATATGGGAAGTGGGGGGGAAGACAAAAACCCAGAAAATATAGGAAAATATGGGGAATCCTGTTATTTGTGTGTATTTATTTGTGTGTCCCAGGGCCCCTTCATATCTGGCATCCCACCCCTCCCACCCATCCCTTCCCATTTCGCTGGTTTTTCTCTATGCGCCGACGCTTGTCATAGGGGACATGGAACTCCAAAGGGGACCTCATCGTGTGATGCGCAGTCAGACTGAGGAAACAGCGTACATGGGAGAAGGAGGTGGCGGATGAGCAGGAGGATGAGCAGGAGGAATAGGACGATGAGGAAGGAGGAGGACGAGGACGATCAGCAGCAGTAGCAGCAGCAGCAGCAGCAGCAGCAGCAGGAGCTGGAGTGGAAGGAGCGGGAGGAGCAGGAAGATCGGGGGAAAACGGGGGAGTGGAAAGGAGGGGGGCGACAACGATGGAAAAGGGATCCAGAAGGGGCGAGAGCGCCATTCTGAGCGATCGGAGCAAAGCGCCGATCCGAACACGAGGCCCGCGCTGTAGCCATTATTGAGGATGACGGAGTGGGTGAGGAGGAGGAGGAGGAGGAGGAGGAGGAGAAGGAGGAGTAGACAAAGGAGGAGGAGGATAAGGGAGACTGAGGAATGAAACAGACGGAGTACGATGAGTCAAGAGGAGGACGAGGAGGAGGATGAGGAGGAGGAGGAGGAGGAGGGAGGAGGAGGGGGAGGAGGAGAAGAAGGAGGAAGAAGATGATCAGCATAATCAGGAACAATGGGAGCAGGAGAATGAACAAGAGGGCGAAGGGCTGAGAAATGAGTGCGGGGGGGGAGCAGGGTGAGCAGGAGATGAGCCAGATGAGGAGGAGGAGGAGAGAATGAGAGAAGAGGAGGAGGAGTTAGAGGAGATGGTGGTAAGGTAGAAGAAGGAAGGAAGATGATGAGCAGCAGAATCATAACGAATGGAGCAGGAGGATGAAAAGGGGCGAGGGCTGAGAAGTGGTGGCGTGCGGCGGGGAGCAGGGATGAGCCAGGGGATGATCCAGAGAGGAGGAGGAGGAGGAGGAGGAGGAGGAGGAGGAGGAGGAGGAGGAGGAGGAGGGGGAGGAGGAGGAGGAGGAGGGGAAAGGAATGAATGAATGAAGAAAGAGCAGCCAGGACAGATAGAGGAGGAGTAGTGACGAAGGAAGAAGGACGGACTATGGAGGAGGGAAGAGGGAGGACGGGAGCCGCGTGTGGCGGCTTGTCGTGAGATCTATCAAGGATGCGCCCCGCTTGACGGACACGTCAGGATGCCACGAGCGGGCTGGGTCACGAACGCCACTCTCGATCGCGATCACGCCGCGCCGAGGATCCGTGTGCATTGCAAAGCCGAGCATATCGTCCTGGGACAAGCCCCGATGCTCGCCATCAAAGGCGGTGACGAACACAACGGTACTCTTTTTGTGATCTCATGGTGGTCACCGTCGTCACCAATATCCAACATGGCCACCTGGACCTAGGCGTGCTTGGGCTGCGGCGAGTGCCAGGATCTCGCATGCACAGCTTGCTTTCGAACTAGGCGAGGGCGCAGAAGAAAATCGGGTCTTGGACGCCCAGAGAGGCGGCGCAAGGGCTCGGTGAACTTGTCGACTCGGGCGGGGCTGGCCAAACCGTATTGGAAAGGGATTCGGATAGTCGCCATCATGGCGTTCTTCCTGGTACTAATAAAATCAAGTAGATGGGCTCAACTAAACATTCTATGCATCTTGTTGCGCTCCTGTACGTAGTCATTGTGAGCACGGGCTTGCGAACTGTCCATCCAATCGAACGGAAACATGGACGATTCCAACTACTCGTGGCGAAGAGGTAGTGTGGGCTGCTCGGCTGCACAAGGCGAAGCATGTCAAGTCATGTGCGAAACTGTTTCGATGTTCATCAAAGTCGACGGCGACAAGGGCCAGGCAGCTTGCAAGTGATCTACTGGACGGCGCGCACGAAAGTCACAGCAGTCACTCGGAAGCAGACTTGTCTTGTGCAGTGAGCCGGAGGTTGCGGGGGTGAGACCGAGCGAAACGGAATTCCCCAGCCCAGAAATCGGGCTCGTCTTCGTGTCGCGTCGCCCGTGCGGGCGAGGCGAAGGCGTGCGATGTTCCCGCGCGCTGCGGTCGGGAACTTCTGGGCGGCGTGTCGCTCCGTCGGTTCTGGCCCACCGCGCCCCGCTGCGACACGCTGGCCGCTGCCCGGTCCCGAGGCGTCGGCGTCCCGAGCTGCCCCGAGCCTGCAGCCCCCCCGCGTTTAGCGGAGCGACACCGCGAGCCCCGCTCGCGGGGCAGAGCCTGTCCCGCGGTCGTCCCGCGGTCTATGTCCGTGTCTGTCCAGGGGACGTCCCGTCGTGGTCCCACTGTTTTGTGTCCTGGTCGTCCCGTGGTTGTCCCGTGACTGTCTTGTGTTCTTCGTGGTTGTTCCGCGGTTGTCCCGTGGATGTCCCGTGGATGTCCCGTGGTTGTACCGTGGTTGTACCGTGATTGTGCCGTAGTTGTCCCGTGGTTGTTCTTTGGTTTTCTTGTGGTTGCCCCGTGCTACGTTGATAGCGAAACCTATGCACGTTCAGATCGGTGCTTGGTGGTTGTCCTGTGCTTGTCCAGCGGTTGTCTCTTGGTTGATCAGTGATTGTTTTGCCGTTGTCCTGTGTTTGTCTTGCGCGTGGTATAGAGTAATGTACGTTAATATTGTGGTATCGCAACATATTGATAGTGAGATCGGCAGATATTTTGATAGTGGGATCGGCATCAGAGTTAGGTCGTTGTCCCATGGTTGCTCTGTGGTTTCCCCGTGGGCGTCTCATGGTTGGCACGTGATTGTCCCGTGGTTGTCCTTTGGTTGCTTGTTGTTGTCTTGTGGTTGTGGTGTGGTTGTCCTGCGATTGTCCTGTGGTTCTCCCATGGTTTTCTCGTTGTTGTTCCGTGGTTGCCAGTGTCTGTCCAGCACTTGTCCCGTGATTGTCACGTGTCTGTTTTGTATGTAGATAGATAGTGATACCGACATGCAAGTAGTGACGTGGTTACCCATGGGAATGTCAACAGAGTGATGGATCGCGGGACCGATCGAGAGTGAGACCGAGTGATAGCTTGACAGTGTGAGCGATGGGTACCTAGTGAGATCGGTGGATAGCGATGCCAATAGGCATATGCTCCTCTCGTTGGGTAGGTGGCTCACGAAGCCCATCCGACGCCAGTCGCAGACCGAAAGCTGCACCCGTCCCCCCAATCCCCTGCAGTCTCCGTGTCATCTGAGAGGTGGTCTTATGCAGCCCATGGAGGCGAGCAGGAGAGAGGAGGAGGAGGAGGAGGAGGAGGAGGAGGAGGAGGAGGAGGAGGAGGAGGAGGAGGAGGAGGAGAGGAGGAGGAGGCCCGTGCCAAAGCCTGCAGTCTTGCACGCTGTCATCTGCAGTATACACATCAGGGCCATGCCAGCGCACAGTTCTCTGCATGCCCAGCTTGCTCTCGAGCGAGTCCAGGTCGCAGAGTCCCAACAGGTCCTGCACGATCTTCTTGCGCTCCGGTGCGAGCGGCATGAAGGTGGTGAAGGGCGACCAGTCGACCTGGTCGTGGTCAGTCAAACTATCTCAGCCAAATATTCCAGCGAGTGCCAACGCATCAGCTCTCTTTCAGAAGACATTCTTGAAGTGTGGGCCTGCAAATTGTCCACACTACCAAGAAGAAGCATGAGTCGTGCATGTGGTGCGAGTGGGGACTCAGAGTCGCAGCCTGGCGCAGCACGTGGGCTCAGGCCAATGACAGTCTAGATCGTTTGGAGATTTTCTTCGAGCCCGTGCCTACAGATGGGAAGAGGGCGGATGGGATGGAGGATTGGGAAGGGCACAGGGAGTGAGCGGGGAGGTGAGGGGGATAGAGGATGGCTTCAGACGGCAAGTACGCGGGGTGGATGCATGATCGGAATAAAATTAGGAAGGGGAGAGAAAGAGGCAGAGAGAGAGAGAGAGAATGTGGGGAGGGAGGGGGACTAAGAAGGAGAGAGGTGATTGAGGAAACGACCCTCAACTCAAGTGGAGACCGAATTGGAAGGATGTGAGGAGAGTGGCTGTCGCGCGTGAAGCATGGAGATCGTGAGAGAGCGAGCGGCCCAGCCTTTGTAAACGTCATAGCGATGGTGATAGTGCGGATCGTGACAATGGCACAGTGGAAGTGGCTATATGGGGCAGATGCAGCGGTGGTGCTAGTCGCCGTGAGCATGAAGACGATGTTGTTGCTGAGTTGTCCTGGGAGGAGGACTGGGGGGAGGAGGAGCACGAGGAGGGAGGGGGAAGGGGAAGGCAGAGGGTGGTCCTGGGTCCTGGAGGAAGTCGGGAGGGCTCTGAGAGTGCCTCTGCCCGGAGCCTCGTCGAGGGGGGCCGCCCGCGCCCGAGGAGGCGCCCCCGGCGGCGCCGCCTGGCACGCTCCCGCGGAGCAGGCTGAGAGAGGTGGAGGCCGTGGTGCAGCAGGCTTGGGCCGCCCCATCCGGGCCTCCCCGCCCTTCTCTCGTCCCGCTGCTCCTCCTCGTCCAAGTCCCGGTCCTCCTCCTCCTCGTGCTTCCTGCCCTCTTCCTCATCTTCCTCGTGCTTCCTGCCCTCTTCCTCTTCTTCCTCGTGGTCTCATCCGCTCGTTCCCTGTCCCCTCCCGTTTGTCCCTTCCCCTTGCCTCCTCCCTCCCCTCCTCCTTCCTTTCCCTCCTCCTCCCCCCCCGCCGCCTGCCGCCCGCCGCCCGCTGCAGCATGAGCGGGCCCCCTCCCCTCCCCTCCGGGTCCCGGGAAAAGATACCCACGGGCGGCCAGTCCGGGACCGGCGCAACCCAGCCGCGAGGCGGGCCGCCAGCCCGGGCTGAGCCAGCCGGCTGTGCCGTGGGGGGCCCTCCTATAAAATATGTTTTACAGCTGCACTGGCTCGCCGCCGGCCAGTGCCCGCCCTGCCAACCGGGCGGCCGCGCACGAAGAAAAGGAGGAGGAGGAGGAGGAGGAGGAGGAGGAGGAGGAGGAGGAGGAGGAGGAGGAGGAGGAGGGGGAGGAGGAGGAGGAGGAGGAGGAGGAGGAGGAGGAGGAGCACTACCTGGCTCACTGCAGGCTTGTTGAGGGGGCCCCCAGGAGTGCCTTGGCCCGTCTGAAGGGGCGGGGCGACCATCACCTGCCATGACTCTTCAGGGGGGTCCTGCCAGCGGGGTAGCTGGCTGGGAGGGCGGGGGGAGGGGAGGGAGAGGAAGGACGGTGAGCGGGCGGGGGCGAGCGGTGGCAAGCGAGCGGGGCCGGGCGCCTTCTGGTCTGGGGGCGAACGCGAAGAGGGCAGGCGCACCCTTTTTTGCGCAGCAGCAAGAGTCAGCTAAACACCAACAGGCGCCGCTCACCTGGTGGAGGACGATCAATGCAGAGGAAGCATGCTGCCAAACAATTCCCAGATGTCTACCACCCCCTGGATTAAAAAGTCCGGATCGGCACTGCAGGCCCCCTTGCATCGTCGTTCCCCGAGAGGTGAACATGACTGGCAAGAAGTACCAGGCATAATCGCAATTTCCAAGCAACATAACTGGGACCGGAAATTTATTTGTGAGGAAGTCCCAAGCGAAATCGCCAATTTCCGGTCGCCACTGAGAATTTCCGGTCGCCTGAAAAGCGTCCGGAATTTTTTTTGGAGGAAGTATTGGGCGGAATGCGGATTTCTGGTCGTCACCCCATTTGGCAGTTATAATATTAGAGGGGTGGAGGACGGACCGGAAATTTAACCATGGCGGCCCCTGCAACATTGTACCGGGGCCCCGTGGCCATCGGGAGCCGAACATCAAGGCTTATTCCCCGACCTCTGCGGTCCGGACTTTTTTGTCCAGGGGGTTGACCACCGCGAGAGCGCCACCGCTCGCGCATTTGCTAAGCGTCTACCTAAAAAGCGGGCGCCCACGCCGAACTAAGCGCACTCGGCGGGTGTCTACTGGGAAAAGGAACGCAACATTAAAAATTCGCACAGGTGCGAAAGCGCGCAAGCGCGCTTTCTTTGGGGCAGCGACGCCAGTAAGGGCGACGCGGCCGAAACGTGATTCCATTTGACGCGATCTCACAACAACATGATCGCCCCACCGACGCGGCCGAAACGTGATTCCATTTGACGCGATCTCACAACAACATGATCGCCCCACCGACGCGGCCGAAACGTGATTCCATTTGACGCGATGTCACAACAACATGTTCGCCCCACCCCCACTCCACTTTTTTCACGAATGATGATCCGCGAGCGCTGACAGAGGAAACGTCTTCCTCGAACGACGCATGCTGGCTTGGAAAAGGACATTTTTTGCAACCACCACCGCGAGAGCGCCACCGCTCGCGCATTTGCTAAGCGTCTACCTAAAAAGCGGGCGCCCACGCCGAACTAAGCGCACTCGGCGGGTGTCTACTGGGAAAAGGAACGCAACATTAAAAATTCGCACAGGTGCGAAAGCGCGCAAGCGCTCTTTCTTGGGGGCAGCGACGCCAGTAAGAGCGACGCGGCCCAAACGTGATTCCATTTGACGCGATCTCACAACAACATGATCGCCCCACCGCGACGCGGCCGAAACGTGATTCCATTTGGCGCGATCTCACAGCCACCGACGCGGCCGAAACGTGATTCCATTTGACGCGATGTCACAACAACATGTTCGCCCCACCCCCACTCCACTTTTTTCACGAATGATGATCCGCGAGCGCTGACAGGGGAAACGTCTTCCTCGAACGACGCATGCTGGCTTGGAAAAGGACATTTTTTGCAACCACCCCCTGGATTAAAAAGTCCGGATCGGCACTGCAGGCCCCCTTGCATCGTCGCTCCCCGAGAGGTGAACATGACTGGCAAGAAGTACCCGGCATAATCGCAATTTCCAAGCAACATAACTGGGACCGGAAATTGATTTGCGAGGAAGTCCCAAGCGAAATCGCCAATTTCCGGTCGCCACTGAGAATTTCCGGTCGCCTGAAAATCGTCC